TCCATTGTATATATATACCACATCTTCTTTATCCATTCATCTGTTGATGGACATCTTGGCTCTTTCCATAGTTTGGCTATTGTGGATATTGCTGCTATAAACATTGGGGTGCAGGTACCCCTTCAGATCACTACATTTGTATCTTTGGGGTAAATACCGCCTCTGATGTATTTTTGTACAGTATCTATCACAACCCTAACCTCAAAGATTGTACCTGCTCAACGAGAGTTCTCCATTGGATTTTCCTTGCACTGGGTCCTCCTTATACATTCGTGTTCCATAGAAATACCAATAGAGTGCCCCAGAATTGTCTTCACCCAATGGTTCCACGCGGAGACTGTCGGCATCCAAACCCTTGGTAGAAGAAAAGGGAAAAGAGGTTTGGGGAAATAGGAAACAAAACAGGAGAAAACTAAAATGAGGATTCAAAACTTACACTCAGATGTACCTCATATTTTAAAATGCCTAAGCATCTTATGCAGCGTTCAATCAGGGTATATGAAACACAGAGAGAATGGGAAGATGGTACCTTCTTTGAAGAGCAGGATATGGAAATATTTCAAATACTTCCCATCCTCATAATTGCCCACATTTCACCAACAAAACAAAACAAAAATCAAAAAGGAATTTTGATGAACATATTATATATTTGGTTTGGACTTATGTGTGCATCCACAAAAGGAAAGACAATTACAACAGAGTAGAATCCAATGTTGTAAAAGCTATGTCCCACGTGAGCCTCTATTGTAGCTCCATCATAATCTATAGTAACCTCTTATTCTAGCTGAGATCCAGCAATACACCTCCCAATTTACCCCAGGGTCTGACCTATTTTGGCCTTCCCACTGCTATTCAAGAACTTGAGTTCTCAGCAAAGACTGTGCTTAAATTGCACAATGATTTTATACCATGTCCATGAGAGGGCTGAACTGAGAAGTCATCAACACATTTAATAATTTTTGACTGAACAGGATTATATACTGACCTTCCTATGAGTGAAAAGCAATAGCCCACACCCTCCCTCTGAGATAGACTTATAAAACAGACAACAGTAGAATAACAGGGAAGATATCTACATCCTCCTTCTCCAATATTTTTGAAATGTATGTGTATGTATGTATATAGTAGCGATGAACCTCACTCACATATCAGTTAAGTCCTTGTAGTTTTCAATATTTCTATTATGCTAAATCAAATTTTAGACCTTGGGGAATAAAATCCAGTAGCTAATTTAGTTGCAATTTTGGCTGATGACAGGGAGAATAAATAGGTGCCTCTGACTGTTCCTTTGTCAGCTGCAACTCAACCATGTAAAGGAAGACAAAACCAAACTAGAAATTAAACCAAAATAACCACACAGTCCTCTATGTAAACGTATGGCTTGGATTCCTTTGGCTACAGTGGTCATTGTATACATTTTTATTGTCAATTAACTCTGGCTTTTTTAAATATCTTCAGATTTTATATCCTGATTACTGGCTTTTTTGTTGCTCTAGGAAAAGGGCCTGCTAGTTAAGCACCTTGAGAAGATCGAAGACATCATCTGCATCTAGCCGATAATCACAAAGGCGGTGCAGGATTTCCACACGAGTGCGAAGGGGCAGGTCTTGGAAACTGGCTTCTCTCAGAGGGTTGGGCTTCCCTTCTTCAAGCTCCCAGCGGTAGTTGATGATGTCCTCCAGGTAGCTGTGGAATGTCTGAGGCCTAACCAAATGGCCCCAAACACAAAAATACATTAATATAAAATACAGAGGATGAGTGGGAAAGTGTAGAAAACAGATGGTTTGACAGCTGACAAATCTTAAACAGAAAGCAGGAAATAAAAAAGCAGTCACAGAAAGGGTCTGAAAAACCCTATTGAAGCTTCATGTTATTATATTATCTACTTGGATGGAATGTTGTCAAATTCCAAAGAAGATAAACATGTTAAGAGGATTTCTCACAGGATAGATTGTTTTACTTTAAACCACAAACAGCATATTCTGGTGAACAGATAAACGTTTTAATAACCAATGGTACAGATTGTGAAACTGAGGCAAGTCTTACCTTTGCTCATACAACTAAAGAGACTATACAGTTTGAATGGACAGTTCAAAACTAGGTCCACAACTGAGATGGGAAACGAAAAAAGAAACTCAATGTTTGCCTAACCTAATTAATTATATTTCAGGTTAAGAATTAAAGGTTGAAAAATGTTGTCTAGATTACAAGGAGCTACTCCATATGCAACTATGATTTTATATACTGTTATATAAACTTTAAGGCTTGTTAAAAAATACTGTATTCTAAATTTTGAAGATTTTTTTTTTTTTAAGATTTATTTGACAGAGAGACAGTGAGAGAGGGAACACAAGCAGGGGGAGTGGGAGAGGGAGAAGCAGGCCTCACGTGGAGCAGGGAGCTTGATGCAGGGCTCAATTCTAGGACCCTGGGATCATGACCTGAGCCGAAGGCAGACGCCCAATGACTGAGCCACCCAGCTGCCCCATGAAGATTTTTTCTGTTACTTAAATTTGTCCTGATTAGTTTGGCAATTCTACAACTTCATTTGATTAGTACCCAAATGTACCTTGTATATAATATAATAAAGAGCTGTTTAGTTATTAGATGGTTATTCTTTCTCTCAACTATTTTTTTTATAAAGATTTTATTTATTTGAGATAGTGAGCAAGTGAGAGAGAGAGCATGAGCAGGGGGAGGAGCAGAGGGAGAGGGAGAAGCAGACTCCCAACTGAGCAGGAAGCCCAATGCTGGGCTCAATCCCAGGACTCCAGAAACATGGCCCACGCCAAAGGCAGACACTTAACTGACTAAGCCACACAGCAGCCCCCTCTCTCTCAATTATTAACAAATCTGGGCACAATTTCACCTATTGCGTGATTTAAATTTTTTTTTTCTCACTAAGCAAGGAGCTCTAAAGAAGCTATATGTCAATGTAATTTTAAAAAGAGGCATGTACCATGTTGACTGACAGTCTGTGATAGTTATATTTGTAGAAAAAGTCAGAGGAAATATTTATGTGAAAAATCAAAGGGGCTTATGCAAATAAGAAATTAAACATTTTGATTTTCAAAGAGAGAAGAAACTACTTCCTTACTATTGATACATCAACTGGGGAAAATGTGAACGTGTTAGCTTATCAAAATGCAGCATAATACCTCTGAATATCAAGGCTCTCACAAATTTGATTTGATTGCAGCATTCACATTCAAAGCATGAGCCCTGGCATATGAATACCTGCCTTGAACCTTAGTGGGTTTGGACTGGCTTCCTCTCTCCATTGCCTGTGAAGCTGGTGCTGCCCCTTTGAGGGAGGAGCTGGGCAAAGAAATTGGCGGTAAAAAGCAGACAGTGTGGCAATGGTGAATTTGAAAATAAAATGGGGTGTACTTTTTAAAAAAGATTTTATTTATTTATTTGACAGAGAAAGGCACAGCAAGAGAGGGAACATAAGCAGAGGGAGTGGTAGAGGGAGAAGCAGGCTTCCTGCCGAGCAGGGAGCCCAATGTGGGGCTCGATCCCAGAACCCTGGGATCATGACCTGAGCCGACGGCAGATACTTAATGACTGTGCCACCCAGGCGCCCAAAAATGGGGTGTATTTTTAAAGTTGTTTTTTAGTAACAAGGAGTATGAAGACAACTGCTCTTTGGTAATAAATCCCTTTACCACATACTGTCTATACTTTCTAATGCACACCAAATACCCCAAATAACAAGGCATGTTTTTCCTGCAGTAGAATAAAATATGGAATCTGTGATATTGAGATAACTTTAAGAACGGCAGCTTCACTGGGAGATATGACAGGACAGAGGCTAGGCCAGGCTAGGGATAGGGAAAGTTCTAATTCCAGTGTGAAGCAAAGGAAGCCCCAGCATACCCATCCTGCAAACACTGAATGTGTATAAACAGTGTTGTTCTTTGTGCCTACAATCTGTCTGAAAGCCTCTACTTGTCTCAAAGAAGTGCATGTTTGAGATTCCTTTCCAATAGCCCTATTATCCTACTCAGTTTCAATTACATTGCTTTGGCTAAAGGTTTTCTTAAGACATCTCCATACCACCTTACCAAGAGATACTTGAGGGCTTAGAATTCAAGATAATTCATTTTTACTGTACAGAGATAAACCTCCGCATATAAATCTACATCCCTTTCTTTAAACATCAGAAATTCAAAGGGGTAAAAATACTTCCAAGGGCATTTGAAACAAAAAGGCTGCAGGAAGCCAAAAATCAGGCTAACACTTTCTACTTGGTGGTTCTTAATCTTCTATATGACATAAAGCTCTTTAAGAATCTGATTAAGACCATATACTATCTCACCCTGAAAAATGAGCACACACACCATTTTGTGTGCACTTTCAGATTTTGCTACTCAAAGGAAGCAAGGGGCACTATGCTGCTGAAGACAGCTAGAATATTTCTGACTTATTCATCTATACAGCTCAGTGCAATTCTCTATTAATGACTTAAATACCTCTCATCTTTCTGAAATTATTCTGAATTATGTCTCAGAATATGGTTAACAGAAAGATCAAACTAACCAAAGGTTCTGAACACATCCAGTTTCACTTTGTTTCTTGTCTGGAAAAGTTCGAAATGCTCTAAAATCCCTTCTTTTCCTTATAACTTGTGCATGAAAGAGTGAGAGGGAGAGAGAGGGAATATGTGATTATCACCTTTCCAAACTCCCAAAGTTAGCTATTT